TTACAAAGTTCGCGGGAAGTATACGAGAGATGTACATGTCAACTTAAGAGGCGAACTGCTCTCTGTTGTCGTCTGTCTGACCACACGCATGTAATGGCCAAGGAGTCCAGAGCACAGATCTAAATTTCGTCATTATTGACTTAGGGAAATAGACTATATATCTGTTTGCTATTTAATTAAATCCAGTCCTGGTGAATACTTTATCATATTTAGTCCCCGGGCTGGTGTTTCAAGGATATGTGTTGAGCTTACTTTAATATTTTGATAACATGATGAACCTCCCATTCTCTGAGAGATCACTGAAACCCATTTTCTTCTAATGAAGTTAGTGATTAGTAATGTTAGCATGTTCCTAGAATAACCGTGTTTGCTGGTTATATTGGGGTTAGTAACCTAGTGTCGGTATATGAATTCAGCCCGTCCTCTATATCCAAAGACGAATTTTGTTCGAATTACAACGCTGTACATGGTCAGCCCGTCCTCCCAAAGTCCATTCTATGCACCTGCCAAACCTCCTGTATATGAATGAACAATCCGGAACGGTTTACTGACACGATTCACAACTGATGGCAAATACAAATTCGAACACCTCCTATATATGCACAATATGATCAAGTGACGAATTTTGTTCGAATTACAACGCTGTAAATGGTTCACCGACATAATACAAATAATCGCCAACAGAACCTAAACACCTAACCTAACCAGTGCCTAAATATGTACAATATGCTAAAATAAAATAATAATAATTTATATTTGATAAAATTCCGGTTTTCAATGAACAGCATGTTAAAATTGATGAATGCGTCTTTGGGGTCAACCGCTGGATCGAATGGACTTGGTCCGAGGACTTGTTGTGGAAATTTCCGGCATCTGTCTTCCCGCAACGTGAGGTGCAATTCACACAAACTTTCCTTCTAACTCATACATCTTAGTTCTGGAACTAGTCTAGTGGCATACCTTTCAACCTTCATCTGCTTCGTCTTATGCTTGACATGGTATGAACTCCGTGCTGGAGCTGCATACTCCAGGATTGGTCTTGCATATGTTGTACAAGGTTCAAAGCGATTCCTTACACAAGTTTCTAAGGCATTTCTGATGTTAGCCGACCTCGCTTGCATTGTCGATGATGATCTTTTGATGTGATCTTCAAGAGACAATTTTGGTGTGATATTTTTCTCTATCCATTTCGTGGAGGACTTCATCTCCCGTTCAGTACCCTGTAACTGTTCCTGTTCCCTCCACATAGTTTCATTACTTTACATTTACTTGAGATGAACTTTAGTAGCCATTTGTTGGACCTTTCCTTCAGTTTGTCTTGGTCATCTTGTAGCTTCTTGCTAACTTCCTTAGTCTTAATCCTCCTCACAATTTTTTCATTAACAATAAACATTGTGAGGAAGGAGTCTATTTCTTTTGGTAGATCGCTTACATATGTACAAATCAGGATAGGGTCATGGACTAAACCATGTGGGACTCCGTCTCGCCACTTCGAGACCTCACCCCATACAGTTACTCGCTGTCTTCTGTTGCTAAGGTACTCCCTTATCCATTGGACTGCCATCCATTTTATTTTTGCCTACATCTCCAGCTTATTTGCTAGTCTCTATTGGGATACTGTGTCAAAGATTTCTGGCAATCCAAAGAGATGCAATCTTCCCACCACTCTTGTTGGAAGCTCAGATTCCTGGGCTTCTCGATCTCTATCATATCAACATTTGAAACTGTGTAGGGAGTCAGCCTCCACCATATCACTTTCTAGTGCATTCCATTTACTAACTACTCTGATACTGAAAAAGTTTTCTAATGTCTCTGTGGCTCATTTGGGTACTCAACTTCCACCTGTGCCCCCTTGTGCGTGTACCACCCGTATTAAATAATCCGTACTTGTCTACCCTGTCAAAATGTTTATGGATACCATATAATGTGTGTGTTACTGTACTCACCTATTTGTGCCTGCAGGACCGAGCATTGGCTCTTATTTGATCCCGTCTAACTAGCCGCCAGTTGTTTAAAGCTATGACTTCTGTCCCATTTACTATATCAAATCTACTTTTAAAGTTATGAATAGTTTGCTTTTACAACCTGCACCTTCAGTTCATTCCATTTTCCCACTACTCATACGCTAAGTGAAAACTTTCTAACATCTGTCTGACTCATCTGAGTTTCCAGCTTGCACTCATCTCCCCTTATGTTGGTATCCAGTGTCATCATTTGGTATATTTCCACTGTCAATCCTCCCGAGTATTGTTTATCATTTCTCTTTGCTTCCTCCTTTTTTCTAGTGTCGTCAGGTTCAGTTCCTTCAGTTGCTCTTCATAGCTCGTCCCTAGCAATTGTTGGACGTTCATCGTCGTAGACTTCTGAACCTTTTCCAGTTTCCTTACGTGTTTCTTCAGGTATGATAGGGCGGCATATTCTAACACTGGGAAAGACTAAAGACTTTACACTGCACTTTGCTGTGTAAAGTGCTCTTAAATGTCTCCTTGATTAGGTTTGTGGTGTTCTAACTTTTGCCATTGAAGAGCACGTTGCTGTCGTTATCCTGTTTATATGTGCCTCAGGAGCTAGATTAGGTTTTACGTTCACACCCAGGTCTCTTTCTCGAATTGTTAAATACATGTAGTTTCCCATCATTGTGTACTGTCCCTTTGATCTCCTGTAATATTTCCATAACTTTACACTTGCTCAAGGATAATGCCAGTAGCCATTTCTGTAACCATCTCTGCAACTTGTTAGTCTTCTGGAGGGTCCTACAATCCTCAACTCGTCTCACTAATCACAACTCGTCTCATAAATTTTGCTTCATACACAAACATCGACATATAGGACTCTACTCCTGTAGACATGTCGTTTACATATATTAGAAATAGAACTGATCCCAACACCGATCCTTGACGTACTCTACTCATTGCTGTTCGCCAGTCCGACTTCTGGACCCTTACCGTTAATCTCTGGTTCTTGCGTGTTAGATAATCCTTACTCATGCTAAGGCCTTTCCGCTTACTCCCACTTGCTTCTCAAGTTTGAATAACAATCTGCTGTATGGTACTGTATCACAACCCGTCCTCTTAAAAGGCCAAAAGTCTGTTCCATGTACCTGCCAAACCCCCTATTTATGAATGATAAACAGTTTACACACGACTCACAACTGTTGACGTCCAAACACTTCCTGAACAAGTGCTTCTCTCACGTCTTCTGTTCAAACCACAATTCCATAAATGCTTCACCCATGTACTTCAAATATAAATTATGTCCCACAGAACCTAAACACCTAACCTAACCTATGACTATCTATACATAGAATTTTTATGTATTAGAATATTAATTTATATTCGAGAACACACCAATTTTTAATACAGAGTATGCTAAAATTAATGAATGTGTCTAGGGAAGATGGCCGCTGCTTTAAACAGCCTAGTGTGAGGATGGGTTTAATACAAATAACAGGGAATAAAACATAAACACCCAACCTAACCGCGCCGATCCCCGGCTAGGCCGGCAGTGGCACGGAGTCCCGGTTAGGCCGGCAGGGGGCGCGTAGCCCTGTCTAGGCCGGCAGGAGCGCAGAGCTCGGCCAGGCAGGCAGGAGCGCAGAGCTCGGCCAGGCAGGCAGGAGCGCGGAGTCCTGGCCAGACCGGCAGTGGCAGGATTGAAGAGAAGCTGCCCTTCAATCTGCTGTTGGTTGCTACTGACGCGGGTGTAGTTAATATTTCTTTTATTATGAATGATAAACATCTATATAAATAAAAATGTAAATAATCGTTTGTTCGAAATCGCTAAACTCCGGAAGTTCTTTACCAATTGCTTTGAAATTTTGACACAATGTTCCATTTGCATATGAGCGTGTTTTTATATACCTACTATATAGATGTTATGTTTGTGAGAGATAAAAACATGCATTTTTGAAAAACTGTGTTTTTCATATGGGGGAAATCTCGGAAACAAGTTTACCGATTGCTTTGTAATTTTGACACAACGTTCCATTCGAATACGCGTGTGATTTTATATTCCTACTATATCTATGCCACACCTGTTACAGATAAAAACATGCTTTAAAAAAAGTGCCCTCTGTTGCACATAAGACCAACACCCGCTATACTAAATATGTTAAGATTCCATTTCAATGTTTCCGATTGCATTGATAAATTGAATTTTCATAGATTTTTAATTTTTTATTTTGATTTAATTATTCTGCGACATTGTGTTGGAATGGAGCTGTGTTGTTTACCATACCTCTCATTTCGTGAGTGTTGTTTATTTTTTTATTGTTTCATTTATTTATAATTTTGCTTTTGTAACTTTAATTATTCTTCAATGATGGGAACATCAGATCATTTGGGAATGCAGCAGACGAGGGAGTGGGGAATGGTGGGGGGAGGAAGAGGGGATGGTAGGGAAGATGAGGGGACTGGGGAGGGGGTAATGGTGGGGAGGATGAGGGGATGGGAATGGTGGGGACGAGGGGACGGGGCAATGGAGAAAGGTGGGGAGGACAAGGGGACAGGGGGAGTGGGGGATGGTAGGGAGGACGAGGGGACCTGGGAGTTGGGGATGGTGGGGAGGAAAAGGAAACGGGGAGGGGGGAAATGAAGGGGAGGACGAAGGGGACGGAGGAGTGGAGAAACGATGGGGAGGACGAGGGGACGGAGGAGTGGGGAAGGGTTGGGAGGACTGGGGGAGATGGGAATGTTGCTGTGGCTCAGCAATGCACATGCGTTGCTAAGCCACAGCAATACGTGGCCGGGTACAACTAGTTATATTAATAATAATGCTACTTGTTGTGTAATCATTAACTATCCCTGTGTGACTGGTGGTTGAAAATGGTTAAAGTGTTGCCTCTACATTTAGTGTTAGCAAGTGTGGGAAGGTAAGGAAACCATCAGGAACACGTAATGACTAACAGTTCTCTTCACTGATGATGCCTTTGGTCAGAATGTTATGCTCTCTGATCATTTGGAGTCTACACAGCTGGCTATAATCCCGTATTTTCGTTACAGGTGGTTCGCGAAGTGCGGGAACGACGACGGACCAGCAGTGCCCTCCAGCACGGGGCCGGTGTCCCCTGCCCGCACCTACTGGAGCGTCACACCCTACCAGATCCCTCCCTCCAGCCCTGCGACACCAGGTAACCTCCCTCACCCTACACTGTCCTGGAGCCCCTGACCCCTCCCTCCAGCCCTGAGACACCAGGTAACCTCCCTCACCCTGCACTGTCCTGGAGCCCCTGACCCCTCCCTCCAGCCCTGCGACACCAGGTAACCTCCCTCACCCTACACTGTCCTGGAGCCCCCTGACCCCTCCCTCCAGCCCTGAGACACCAGGTAACCTCCCTCACCCTGCACTGTCCTGGAGCCCCCTGACCCCTCCCTCCAGCCCTGAGACACCAGGTAACCTCCCTCACCCTACACTGTCCTGGAGCCCCCTGACCCCTCCCTCCAGCCCTGAGACACCAGATAACCTTCTTTGCCTCAAACTTTCCCAGCTTAGTAGTCAAGCCTACAACTTTGCCTGTATAGGACTTGATCAGTCTCCTATTTCGGTTATATCTTGACACGTGTCCTGTATTACACTATAAGGCCGCGGCCCCGTCAGCCAAGACATATCCTGACACGAGGTTTCTCGTGTAGTACACTAACTCAGGTCGCTGTGTCGTCATCTGTGGGAGATTTCCACATCAAATACAAATTCAAATAAAACAACTACTAAATGTTGATAGTTTACATTAGTTAGTCATATAAAAGTTACAGAAAATGGGGTTACATTCCCAAGGTCAGATACACAATAGTTCTGCCAATGTTTTGGCTAATTTAATAAAAAATACACCTGTCTTAGGGTTGGTTACACAAGAAAATGAGTCTACTTAATTAATTATATATTTAATAGTTAGATCTGACCTCAAACCCCTTTTTCCTCCCGAATCTCGAATATGACAACCTCTGGGGGAGGGAGGAAGGAGCAGCCAGTGTACAGAAAAGCGGCCATATTAAGTGTTGTCGTGAACTAAAGCTCACAAGATCATCTCCACAGCGAAGACAGAAATTGACTCCCAGCGAATCCAAAAGGGCAGTGGGACTCAAAATAGTTGCTATTTATTACTGAGATTACCCGACTTAAGAACTAAGGAATGTTCCCATCCAGTTTGTCTATTAGCTCAGATTAAATTGGCCAATTATTTTCTTTGTCTAGGGATAATTGTTACAAGGCATAACACCACCCACAAGGGTAAGCCTCATTATTATAACAGTTTAAGGTCATGTGTAACACCTGTACGAATATGTAGTCATCAGTACAGTGTATGGTGTCCCCAGGTGAGTGTGACCACATGAGACATAGTTGTGCTGGCCACACCAGGACCACCCAGACGCCATTAATCACAGGAGTGCACGTGTCTAAGAGTATCTAATGTGTGATGACCAGTTAACACTACTAACACCTCTGAGGCCATTTTATATGTTCTTTATATAGTTCTGTGATCATTAACTCAATAATGATTACATTTACCATTTAAATATGGTAAGATTAAAATATGAAACCCCCAAATTGGGTGAAGGGAAGGTTATTGGTGACAATCTATATAAATAAAAATGGAAATGTTCGTTTGTTCAAAATCGCTAATCTCCGAAAGTTCTTCACAGATTGTTTTGAAATTGTCACACAATGTTCCATTTGCATCCGAGCGGTTTTTTTAATGCATACTATATTAATATCACGTCTGTAATGGAAAAAATATGATTTAAAAAAAAAAACTGTGTTTTTCATGTGTTTTTAATGTGAGAGAAATCTTCGAAACCTCTTTAACGATTGCTTTGAAATTTTGACACGACGTTGCATTTGAATAGGCGCTTGTTTTTATGTACCTACTATATACATGCCTCACCTATGACAGGGAAAAACATGTTTTTTTATAAACAGTGCCATCTGTTGGATGTAAGAGCAACACACGCTGTAATCTCTCAAAGTTCTTCACCGATTGCTTTGAAATTCTAATACAACGTTCCATTCAAATATGTGCATGTTTTTATATACCTACTATATAGATGCCATACCTGTGACAGGTAAAACATTTTTTTTTCAAAAACAGAGAAATCTGTTGCACGTCATAGCAACACATACGATATACTAAATATGTTACGAATTCCATTTCAATGTTTCCGATTGCATTGACAAATTTAATTTTCATAGATTTCGATTTATTTTAATTTTTATTGAATTATTTTGTGTGAAATTGTGTTGGCATTAAGCTGTGCTATTTACCTTACCATTCATTTCGTAAGTACAAGTATAGATGCCACACCTGTGACAGGTAAAAACATTTTTTTTTAAGCAACAGCGCCATCTGTTGCACGTAAGAGCCACACACGCTATACTAAATATGGTACGATTCCATTTCAATGTTTTCGATTGCATTGACAAATTAAATTTTCATACATTTCAATTTATTTTCATTTTGATTTAATTATTTTCTGTGATATTGCGTTGGAATTAAGCTATGCTGTTTACCATACCATTCATTTCGTGAGTATAAGTATAGATGCCACACCTGTGACCAGTAAAAACTTGATTTAAAAAAAAAAACAGCACCATCTGTTGCACGTAAGAGGCGTAGGGAACTATCGGGGGGGGGGGGGGGGGAAGCGCCAAGCCATTATGACTATATAGCACTGGAAAGAAATCAGAATAAGGATTTGGGATGGGATGGGGTAAGGGAGGAAGGAATGGTGCCCAACCACTTGGACGGTCGGGGATTGAACGCCGACCCTCATGAAGTGAGATCGTCGCTTTTCCGTTCAGCCCAATTAGCTTGGCTCTTGATTGAGTCCTTTAATACTGTCCATCTGGTGATCATTGAGATTCAACATTGGCTGTTTCTTATTTCTATTAAATTTAAATCAGTAGAGTTTTGCTGGGTTCCCAGCCATTGTGGGGTTTCTTTAAATGAGTGTGCAGATGCTGCCACTAGGGAAGCTATCCGTTCTTGTCCCATCTCCCGTAAAGGTATACCTTATTCCGACTTTCATCCTGTTATTCATTCCTCCATCCTTGCCCGTTGGCAGGGTTTTTGATCCTCTGTAGTTGGTAACAAGCTGCGTACTCTCAAACGTAGTGTGTCCCCGTGGCCTTCCTCCTACCACCGTAACCGGCGGTGGGAAACTGCTTTGGCAAGGCTGCCTATTGGCCATACTCGCTTAACCCATGGTCACTTAATGGAGTGCCGCCCTGCTCCTTATTGTCCAAATTGCGTTGTCCCTCTTACAGTTGTGCATATCCTTGTTGAATGTCCCGACTTCCATGGCAAGCGTGTGTGTTACTTTCCGACCGTCCCTCAAGGTTACTTGTCCCTCGATAGAATTCTTGGTGAATCGTATACTTTTGATATCGTTCACCTTATGCGTTTTTGTTCTCGTATTGGCATTCTTGGTGATATTTATCGCCCTCTGATTATTTCGCACTTTGATGGTGCTACATAGCCTTCCCCGGTTTGGTGCCTTCTTTTGATAATTACCTTACCTCGGTTTGGATAGGTTAGGGATGTTAGGTTAGGTTCGGGAAGAATGCTTATACAACACTTTACAAAGAATATTAAAGATTGGAGTAAGTCAGTGAACTGAGTAGTTGTGTAAGAGTTTCTTAGTGACTTAAGTGTTTGTGAGAGTTGTGCTAGTTTGTCTAAGAGTGCATATGGTCTGTGTTTGTACATGTTTTACATGTAAGTATTTGCATGATTGTCTACGTTTCTGTAATTTGTGCTAATCTGAGAGAATTTGTATATACAAGAGAACTTGTGAATGTTTGAGAAAGTGAGTAAGTTAATGAACTGAGTGAGTGTGTACTCACCAAGTTGTGGTTGCGGGGGGGGTTAAGCTTTGGCTCTTTGGTCCCGCCTCTCAACCGTCAATCAACTGATGTACAAATTCCCGAGGCTACTGGGCTCTGTCAAATCTACATTTGAAACTGTGTATGGAATCAGCCTCCACCACATCACTTCCTAGTGCATTCCATTTACTAACTACTCTGACACTGAAAAAGTTCTTTCTAATGTCTCTGTGGCTCATTTGGGTATTCAGCTTTCACCTGTGTCCCCTTGTGCGTGCACCCACCACCACCACACCACCTCGGTGTCTCGAAGAGTAATCCATAGTGTCTCGAAGAGTATCTATGGTGTCTTAAAGAGTATCCATGGAGTCTCGAAGAGTATCCTTAGTGTCTCGAAGAGTATCGATGGTGTCTCGAAGAGTAATCCATGGTGTCTAGGTGAGTAATCCATGGTGTATCGAAGAGTATCCATGGTGTCTCGAAGAGTAATCCATGGTGTCTTGAAGAGTAATCCATGGTGTCTCGAAGAGTATCCATGGTGTCTCGAAGAGTAATCCATGGTGTCTCGGTGAGTATTCCATGGTGTCTCGAAGAGTAATCCATGGTGTCTCGAAGAGTATCCATGGTGTCTCGAAGAGTAATCCATGGTGTCTCGGTGAGTAATCCATGGTGTCTCGAAGAGTAATCCATGGTGTCTCGAAGAGTAATCCATGGTGTCTCGAAGAGTATCGATGGTGTCTCGAAGAGTATCGATGGTGTCTCGAAGAGTATCCATGGTGTCTCGAAGGTTAATCCATGGTGTCTCGGTGAGTAATCCATGGTGTATCGAAGAGTATCCATGGTGTCTCGAAGAGTGTCCATGGTGTCTCGAAGATTAATCCATGGTGTCTCGAAAAGTATCCATAGTGTCTCGAAGAGTATCCATGGTGTCTCGAAGAGTATCCATGGTGTCTCGAAGGTTAATCCATGGTGTCTCGGTGAGTAATCCATGGTGTATCGAAGAGTATCCATGGTGTCTTGAAGGTTAATCCATGGTGTCTCGAAGGTTAATCCATGGTGTCTTGGTGAGTAATCCATGGTGTCTCGAAGGTTAATCCATGGTGTCTCGAAGAGTATCCATGGTGTCTCGAAGAGTAATCCATGGTGTCTTGAAGGTTAATCCATGGTGTCTCGAAGGTTAATCCATGGTGTCTTGGTGAGTAATCCATGGTGTCTTGAAGGTTAATCCATGGTGTCTCGAAGAGTATCCATGGTGTCTCGGTGAGTAATCCATGGTGTCTCGAAGAGTATCGATGGTGTCTCGAAGAGTAA